CGTCTCTGCAGTCTCATGCTTTATCGGTAACCCTGTATCATCATAGGAGACACCATTGGAGCGCATCGGGAGTAAGCAACCTTATTATACAACCTCGGTATCAATTTACAAAGGTTTAGTTATAAATATATATATATATATACATAAAGAGGAAATATATATTAAAGGAACTGAGCACTCGTATTAAAGGGACTGTTTACGTGTAATTTCGAGTGACTCTTTATTTAACGAGTGCATCCCAAATAGATTATCAAGTACAATACAAGTACAGGTGGCAGCAGAGAAATGAACCAATTATACACGAGGTCACAAGTGTCAAATATAACAAGGAAAACAAAATTTTCAAGATTAAAAAAAATGTAAAAGCAGAAAATAAAGATCACATTTAATTGCACTTATTTTATTGTAACACTTTTTTTAAAATCATCAATATATTATTAATGATTTTTTCGGACACAAAAACTAAACTGACACTTATGATGTCAGAATACAGGTGTACTGAGAGTGTACATATTCTACGTTGCCATCTATTGTACTAGAATCTATTTGGTGTGCCCCAAATATAGTGTTTGATCAGGAATTAACGCTTTGCTATCCACCATTTTTTAAAAATTGATTATTTTCAATTGTGGTTTCTCTTTGAAGTAACAATTGCAGGATTCTGCTTCGGAAACAATGAAAATTTTTTTGAGAATTAAACAATTTTCAAGCTATCTTTCACTTTTTTGATCATCTACAAATATTTATGGGGTACCATTGTTATTTTATGATGCCCCTTTTAAAAATTTTTTTTTTTAGAATGTCACTTGAAGTTACATAGTCGATCAGGGCCTAATATTTTCGAATCCTTTGCAACCTAATGTCAAAACCTTTGATATTTCTAACTAAAACTCTGCTAAATAAATAGTCAAAGTTTGAGCTATCTAAGGCTTCCAGCAGCAGGTTGATAAGACGTTTATTTGTTTATTAGTCAGTTACTATGTTTTTAAAAAAAAGTGAAACAATTAATTGTAATTATTTATTTCTTTTCTCTTCTTATTTCAATAGTAAACCTTTCATTATAAATTTGAGCTTGAGACAAGCACTTAAATAAATATATTGGTTTCAAAAAGAGAGTCTAATATCTACGTCACGCACCTCGGCCCCTTTAGCAAAAGTAAATTCAACTTATATGAAGTATAAAGTCTGACCGCGTCAACCTTTGTTTCACCGGCAAGTCCTATTGATTGTCTACTTAATCAAACCAATGTCCGTGCGGTACAGTACAAACTGGGACCGGAAAGGTTGACCCAGCTCGGAATTTTGTTTTCCCATTTTATTCAAATGTTACCTTTATTATTTTCCTGTATAGTAATCTGTATTCCAGGATAGGAGTAGGACTTTTAACATCCCAGACCAGATAGTAGTGGGTTCTAGATAGATAGATAGATAGATAGATAGATAGATAGAAAGATAGATAGATATATAGATAGATAGATAGATAGATACAAGGATATAATGCAAGGTAACTTAATTGCATTTGCATATACTCACTCTGCGTACATATTGAAACCAGTTCTCTCTGGGCGGAATTTGTAAAGAAGAATAGATGCATCAGTGTTCGTTTAGTATCCGAGGTGGTTAAAAGCATTAAATTTTGATAACTTTGATAATTATCATAATAGTTTCCAATGACCAGAATATTTCATCGATTTTTTATGTGAAAGATGGACCCCATGTCAGGCTTAGACATCTGTCTTGTGTTTACATTACCGCCCAGAGACAGTAAACTGCAGTTCAAAAGATGCGTAACTTCTGAAATAGCTTACCTTGCATTATAACCATGGATAGATAGATAAATGGATAGATAGACCGTTTGTAGAAATAGCAAGGCATGATTGTTGAATATTTTTATTCATCTATGTCATAAAACTGATTAAATTTTATGAATACAGAGGCGCAACTAGGACTTTTGCTAGGGGGGGGGTCTTTCTCACAGAGTATCAGTTCCTTCTCCCAGAGTATCAGTTCCTTCTCACAGAGTATCAGTTCCTTCTCCCAGAGTGTCAGTTCCTCCTCCCAGAGTATCAGTTTCTTCTCCCAGAGTATCAGTCTCTCCTCCCAGAGTAGCAGTTCCTCCTCCCAGGTATCAGTCTCTCCTCCCAGGTAGCAGTCTCTCCTCCCAGAGTATCAGTTTCTCCTCCCAGAGTATCAGTTTCTTCTCCCAGAGAATCAGTCTCTCCTCCCAGAGTATCAGATCCTCTTCCCAGAGTATCAGTTCCTTCTCACAGAGTATCAGTTTCTCTCCCAGAGTATCAGTTCCTCCTCCCAGAGTATCAGTTCCTTCTCACAGAGTATCAGTTCCTTCTCCCAGAGTATCAGTTTCTCTCACAGAGTATCAGTTCCTCCTCCGATAGTATCAGTTTCTCTCCCAGAGTATCAGTTCCTCCTCCCAGAGCATCAGTTCCTTCTCACAGAGTATCAGTTCCTCCTCCCAGAGTATCAGTCTCTCCTCCCAGGGTATCAGTTCCTCCTCCCAGAGTATCAGTTTCTCTCCCAGAGTATCAGTCTTTCCTCCCAGAGTATCAGTTCCTTCTCCCAGAGTATCAGTTTCTTCTTCCAGAGTATCGGTACCTCTTCTTGAACTATATATTCTTCTTTATTTTGAACTATTATTTGTTCATGAGCTATATTTCATTTGAACTATATTTTATATTAATTTGTACTATTTTATGTTCTTTGAACTATTTTATGTTCATTTTAACTATTTTTTGTTATTTTGAAATCTTTAAATTCATGTTCAATGAACATTTCATTTTAACTATTTTTATGTTCATTTTAACTATTTTTACGTTAATTTTAACTATTTTTATGTTCATTAAATCCATTTTTATTTGTCAATTTGAAATATTTCTTTGTTTGTTTAATTAATTAATTAATTAATTAATTGTTTGACTTAATTATAAACTTCATGAAATCCCCAAAATTTTAAAAACTACTGTACATATACAGGATGTCCCACGAAACATGACAGTTGGTGAATAGTTTAGAATATCATCTTCCATAATTTGTTAAGTTTATTGGGACCAAAGACAATAATAAAAATATTATATGGGAGTCATATTGAAGTAAACTTGATTTCAAAGTAAAAGATTTTGGAGGAAAAGATTTTTTTAACGAAATGAACTGCAAAAAACCTTAATATCCTAAAACAGTATATGAGGACGACATTCAAAACTATTTTTCAACTGTCATGTTTCGTTGGACACCCTGTACTCTGCAAAACTATTGTTATTACTCATTGTCAAATTTTCTTAAGTCGTCAATGTATGTAGTATGTTAAGATCTTAACGAAATCTAATGTGGAAATGACATTATTTAGAAGTAAAAATGTTTTTTTTTATTGTCCATACCCTTTTTTTATTAAAAAAACATCTAAAACATCTCCTAAAAAACGCTTTTTGGACCCCCCCCCATGTTACAGAAGTAATCTTTAAAAAAAGTACAAAATTTAGGGGGGGGACACAAAAACGTTCTCTAAGACAGAAACAAGGGTTCAATTTGTTTTATATTTATTGCACAATAAAATTTTAAAGCTAGGCATAAAAAAATCAGCATGTTCAGAGTCTTAGCTGGCTCAAAAATTGTCTTGTCTTACATATGATATGATATCCATGTACAAAAGGAGGGGGAGGGGGGTCCAAAAATCGTATTTTAGGAAATTAACTCATAATATATATATTTTTTATTATTTAACCCATCTCCTGCCCTACTTACTACTTTCCAATTGCCCAACCGATTATGTGTTTACATGTACGGATGAGTATCAATCTCTATTGATACCACCAAGGTTGTATGAAAAGGTTGGTTACTTTCGATGCATTGAGATGTACGGAAAATGTCGTCTCCTAAGATAGATAGATAAAAACCTCATATGACGTCACTGATTATAGGGGCGAGAGTGACGTCATATGCGGTTTTTATCTACAGGGTTACCCACAAAGGATGAAACTGTAAAGACGACCCAAAACTCTAAAAATATGTTGATTTGAAGCTTGACTTTTGGCTTCTGCATTCAACTGAGTATTGGTTAAAATAAATGATTAAGCAAAGAAATAAGCCCATTATGGTATACAAGGAACCCTGAATGCAAGAAAACGGATTAAACAAATTCCGTACAATCGTCTCTGCAGTCTCATGCTTTATCGGTAACCCTGTATCATCATAGGAGACACCATTGGAGCGCATCGGGAGTAAGCAACCTTATTATACAACCTCGGTATCAATTTACAAAGGTTTAGTTATAAATATATATATATATATACATATATATATATATATATATATATGACGACAATATATATACTTTGCTTGTCAGTCTGTCTATCCGTTTGTATCCAATAAACGTCCAAACGGCTGAACTTATCCAGCGCAATTTTGCGTGGGGGACCTCACATGACCCTGGAGAAGGTTTATGTGTGCTCTAAGTTATAACAATTTGTGTCCAAAAATTTTTGATTTTTTTAAAAGTTTGAAAAATATTATGGAATACTGAAATACTTCTGCACACACATTTAAAAAGTTGGAAAACTCGCATAAATTCCAAAATTTACCAATTTATTTTTAAAATCCTTTTTTATTGCCTAAATTGAAAGAATGGATTATAATTCTGTGATTTGATGGCAGAAAGGAATCCAGGTATTTGGGGTAAACGGGAAAACTTTGTATTTCTAATGCTTCCATGAAAGGGACTGTTTACGGGATTTAAAGTGGGATGAATTATGTCCATTTTCTTACCTGTGTCCGCGCTTAAATTCAAAAATCAGTATTAGAGAAACCGTGACTGTCAGTTATCAATGTTTTGAAAAGGACTATTTTGGTCTTTTAATGGCTATGTGAAATTACGCTGACAGTCCCTTTAAAAGTGAAATTACTCTGACAGTCCCTTTAAAAGTGAAAAGTTACATACTTGGTGAAGATTTAACAGCAGTGTTGAAAGTGAACATTGTGGAGGGCTGGGACCAGCCTTCATTATTCCGAGCCTAGATACATAGACACTAGATATATAGATAGATAGATAGATAGATGGATAGATAGATAGAAGATAGATAAATAGAAGATATATAAATAGAAGATAGATAAATAGATAGATAGAAGATAGATAAATAGATAAATAGAATATATATAGATAGATATAATAACAATGAAATTGTTGTGCAATCTTTTAATGTCTTTATAGATTCAGTCCATTTGGGCCAGCTGTTTGGCCGGCAATACGCAACATTTATTTGAATGTCTTGTTTTTTATATAGAGCATGGCTTGAGAACATAGATCTAGCTAAAAAACTAAAAAATTTTCTATAAAAGCCATTTAATACAAAATATGTAAACCACGCTAAGAACATTCCCGGGGTCTGAGGAGTTCCCAAATACAAATGTGTGGCAAATCGGTTATTGCATGCCTGAGTTATGATCGGCCATAAAAATAAGCATTACAAATAAAAACTGAGACACCAAAACAGAGATTACTATTTTATATATATATATATAAATTAATCTGTCATACCTAGTAGGCTTGGAATCCATGATAGAGAATACAGCAGATGAAGGCCGACCATGCACTTCGATATACTTCCTTAAAAAGTACACGATTAATAGATAGATAGATAGATAGATATAATACAGCAGATGAAGGCCGACCATGCACTTCGATATACTTCCTTAAACAGTACACGATTAATAGATAGATAGATAGAAAGATATAATACAGCAGATGAAGGCCGACCATGCACTTCGATATACTTCCTTAAAAAGTACACGATTAATAGATAGATAGATAGATAGATATAATACATTATACAGCAGATGAAGACCGACCATCCACTTCGATATACTTCCTTAAAAATACACGATTAATAGATAGATAGACAGATAGAATACAGCAGATGAAAGCCGACCATGTACCTCGATATACTTCCTTAAAAAGTACACAATTAATAGATAAATAAATAGATAGATAGAATACAGCAGATGAAGGCCGACCATGTACCTCGATATACTTCCTTAAATAGTACAATATTAACAGATAGATAGATAGCCAGATAGAATACAGCAGATGAAGGCCGACCATGTACCTTGATATACTTCCTTAAATATTACAATATTAACAGATACTGACATAGATAAATAGATATAATACAGCAGATAAAGACCAACCATGTGCCTCGATATACTTGCTTAAATATTACAATTTCGCAAGATAAAATTGATTGTGTTAAACAAGGAATATAATATTAATAGTTCATATCAAATATTTGAAAATAAAAAAGATGAAATGTTATAAATTTTATATAAAATATGAAACTAATTAAAGTTTTAAAACAAAATAGAATTGGACGATGCTATAAATGGATAAGTTTTAACTCTGCTCGTTATAATATCTTGATCTGAAGTTTACTAACTATATATATTAGGTCTGAAAACTTAGATATATGTTCTGTCACGTGCGGTGGGAGAGGGGGAATTGATCCAGGGGGGGGGATTGATGGATGAGGCACGTTAAGCTAGAGGTCCTGGGTTAAATTCTAGTGTGTCCTTACATTAGAACCCATTTTTATTTATTCATTTACTTTTTTTCGTATTTGTTATTTGTTATTTTTTAAGCTATGTATTTTAAGTGAAGTATAAATGATGTCTTTTACGATATTTTCAAACGGTTTTGAATAAGAGATAAAATATGAAAATATTCCATAACAGATAGGATGCACTTCGCTATAGTTGGTTGTACGTGAAGGGGGGGTAAGTGAACAAGTGAACAAAATGAACAAGTGAACAAGTGAACAAGTGAACAAGTGAACAAGTGAACAAGTGAACAAGTGAACAAGTAAACAAGTAAACAAGTAAACAAGTGAACAAGTAAACATGTGAACAAGTAAACAAGTAAACAAGTAAACAAGTGAACAAGTGAACAAGTGAACAAGTAAACAGGTAAACAAGTAAACAAGTAAACAAGTGAATGACAGTATTTTCGAAAAAAAATGTTTAATATAATGCAAAAAGGATTAGAATATTGGCAATATAGCTTATACCCTCCTATCCTAGTGTTAAAGGCAAACAGAGACTAATTGAACCAGAAGATATGGATTATTGGTTCAATATTTATATATTTATATATTTGGAAATAAATAAAACTTTTTCATGAGACGGTTTTTGTTGGAACTATGTTGAAGGATAAAGTTTCATTTAAATAAATTGGTTGAAATTGTTTTGGGTTGGTTTCTAAAATACTTTATCGAAATATATATTGTAATATTTTACAACTCAATTCCAATATCAGGTTGTAAGAAAAATGTATCATATAAGGTAGAACTTTACAAATATAACGTTCTACCCTTATCCTTTATGGAAATGTTTAAAAACCAGCTGCAGAGCAATTTTTTGTGTAAAAAAAGGATCCTTGTGTAGTTTCCTTCATATATCTATCTATGTAGTGAATATTGAATATGTATCTATCTATCTATCTATTTATCTGTGAAGTGAATATTGAATATCTATCTATCTATCTATCTATCTATCTATCTATCTATGTATCTATCTATCTATTTATCTATGTAGTGAATATTGAATATCTATCTATCTATCTATTTATCTTTGAAGTGAATATTGAATATGTATCTATCTATCTATCTATCTATCTATCTATCTATTTATCTATGTAGTGAATATTGAATATCTATCTATCTATCTATCTATTTATCTATGAAGTGAATATCGAATATGTATCTATCTATATATCTATCTATCTATCTATTTATCTATGTAGTGAATACTGAATATGTATCTGTTTATCTATCTATCTATCTATCTATCTATCTATCTATGTAGTGAATATTGAATATATATCTATCTATCTCTNGCAGAGCAATTTTTTGTGTAAAAAAAGGATCCTTGTGTAGTTTCCTTCATATATCTATCTATGTAGTGAATATTGAATATGTATCTATCTATCTATCTATCTATGTAGTGAATATTGAATATGTATAAATATATTCATGTCTACGAAGTATAGAATGGGTAGGACGGGTTGGATAGAAAAGAATCAGACAACCGAATATTATTCTTTTCATAAGTGAGTCAATTCACACCTTTACAATATTTATGCAGATATAAAGTGTTATCCACAAAAGATAAGACTGCAAAGACGACCCAAAACAATAAAATGATTTGAAGCTTGATTTTTGGTATTTGCATTCAATTGAGTATTTCGATGGTTTGCTAATGATAGAGCACAGAAAAAGCTAGTGTTGACCAAACAAAGAAAACGGACCAAACAAATTTTAATTCTTAGTGGATAACCCTGTATAGAAGAAAACAGGCAAGAACTATGAATAAGAAAGATTTATTTTATATAAATAACACGCTTTCAGGGCATTGATAACTTTATCATTCTATAGCACTCTGGGCCGTAGTAAATTTGAATTCGAACAGGACCGGCCCGGTTCCATATTCTGTACAGTACGTCGCCCTAACTAGACTCACATACGACAGGGGTCAATTTTCCTGGCATAGTCCCGTTGGAGGGCTAACTATGACAACTCTTATAGCGCGTTCAGAATTTTTACAGTACCCGGCCTTTTTGACCGACCCCACTGGTTTAGTCCACCGTGAAAGGGACTGTTGCCATAATTTTAGTTGATACTTCTTTTATAAAAATGATTGTACTATTCGATCATTGACACGCACCTCTGATCCTTCAATAAAAGTAAATTCAACCTAAAGTCTGACCGCGTCAACCTTGTTACACCGGCTAGTCCTATTGAGTGTCTGCTTTACTCAATGACCGGGCAATACAGTACAAACTGGGCCGGAAAAGTTGACCCGGCTCGGAAATTCAAATGTACTACGGCTGCCCGTGATGACCAATGACGAATGAGAAATCCCTTCTCTTCAGCTAAAAAAGGATTATTCTCATGGTGCGGAGACGATGAAGAGAATTTTGAGAATTTATTACAAGAAGAAAAAGAATCTTTTGTAAATATTATCTAGAGTTGAAAATTAAATTTAGAATTTTAGATTGAAATTTGTTGAAAGCGAAAATAAGAAATTGAAAAACAATTTAATTTGTATCTTCTAATTTGCAAATTAAAATCTCTCTCTCTGGCCCGCTTGCTATATTTAACAACATTGTTCTTAGTAATTTTAAGGACTTTGATTTAATAAAAGTGACTGTTTTCTAGGGACATTTCTTAGTTTTCAGGGGAAAAAATTGAGTTTAATTCTAGGTGAAAACTTTAAAATGGACTGGGTTTAACATATTCTCTAATTAAAAAGTTTTTAGCTCAGACTGAACTCTGATTAAATCCCAATAGATCATTTTATCTTGATAAGACAAATCTTAGCTTCAGAAAGAACTTTTCCATAAGTTTTATAAATATATATATTTATAAATGACCAGGAAATAGACCTCCTCAAACCTAATGTAAACACATTATATACTCTCTCACCTCCAGGGATCAACACAACAACAAAAATGTTTAAAATCAATTTTTTCAACAAGAACCAATTTTCGATTTAATATCGACATTATGGATTTAATAAAAAGTCTTAAAAGTTGATTAAAAAAAAAACATTTTGAAAAGAAAATATTTTTAAAGAAAATATTGCCCCCTGGTGAAGTATCCGAAAATAGTTTTGGTTTTATCATAAATACAGAAGGTAGGAAATGTAAAGCAATATTGACCAGTTACGAGTTTCTTTATAATTAGATTTGTAAAATCCTATTTCAACCACAGAGTGGTTTTTCTCTTTTATCTTTGTTATGTACAGGGTGTCCTATGGAACGTTAAAATATCATTTTTAAACTGCATATTGTGGTATTCATTGGACACCCTGATTTTACAACTTCTTAACCCTATCCCTAACACTATCAAATATACTGGTGGGGGATACCCCCCGTCTATTTTGGGTAAACCAGACGTCAGTCGGAATAGGGCTAACGGAACTTTGCTCAGTCCTTCTGTAATGTGTAATACATCTTAAATTCTCTTTGTCTGTTTAAATCCCCTGGACCCCCCCCCCCCCAGGTTTAGATGAAATACAATTCAGGTACGATTATTAAGAATTATTCATGTATTGTTTGTTTAAAGGGATTGTTAGGTAAATTAAGTAATTGAAACAAGTTTAATGTTTCTAAAACACTAATACATTGACAGAAAGCTTTACACATTGTTTTGAGTATATTTTGTTAAGAATATAGTTGAAATATTCTTTTCTTATTCAGTCAGACTCAAAAAACATATTAAACAATCTTAAGTTTATAATACACGCACCTCTGCCCCTTTAGTAAAAGTAAATTCAACCTATTTGAAGCATAAAGTCTGACCGCGTCAACCTTGTTACACTGTTAAAGGGACTGTAAGCGTAATTTCAAGTGACCTTCCAGTTTTAGAGTCGCATGTACACTAGCAAGGAGTGTACACTGTACAGTGTACACGGTAGCCCAGAGTCTCCCTGCACCACATCTGCATCTATACGAATAAGGGCATATCTATCTACCTTATCATTGTTTAACAGGTATTATTGTGAATCAGACATAGCTCTCTATACTTGGAACGTCACTAGAAATTAGGCATACAGTCCCTTTAAATTTAGAGATAAAGATATCGTCAGGGATATCTTGGATGGTTTCTGGCAAACCTTCAGATTTAATTTTAAACCCTCGAAATGTTGAATTGAATGGTTGGGACAAGTTTGCTGGCATGAATCTATACCAACACTTTCATCTGATCATGTCCAACCCTAAACTCCGTCTGAAAGTTGGGGATGAGTTTACAACCTGAAAGTAGGGCTGTTAATCGTTTAAAAAAACGATGGGTTTAAAAGATTAAACTGTTTGATTTTATCACTTAAAAAGCGATAAACAAAACAACTATGTGTTCGTATAGTTGAACATGTTTTTCGACATTTAATTTCAAGCTTACAACCTGAAAGTGGACATGTGTTGACCATAAATACAACTTCTAAAATCACCTCCCCCCCGTAAGTCATCTTTACCAAAACCTCCCTCGGAGAAAAACCAAACCAAAGCAAGTCTCTGTTCAAATTTATCTATACTCTCCAACAAAGGAACAACAAACAGTGAAACGTTTTACTAAGTGAAAGATCAAATCCATAAATATATTTGCAATCAACAGTTAATTCCACTTAAAAAACCGGGTTTATATTTTCAGAAGTATTTACAAATGCTTTAAACTATTCCATCAAACCCTCAAATCATAATCACTCCTTTTCACTCTGTCACGGAAAATTAGTATGATATATTTTAAATGTGCTGCGTATATCCGTAAATCACTTTAACAGAGACATTGTATATAATAGAAAATTGTCAATATTTTCAATCACTTTTGCCTAAAAAAGGAACTACCATTGTGAATTAGACATACCTCTTTAATTGTAGTGTAGGGTTAATTGAACCTTTAAAAACACTCCCTTTAAAGACTTACTTTGCTTCTCCAAGAATATTTTTTGCCAGGCATGAATAATTGCCAAAAGAGGAGGAGGAGGAGGCGTCCAACAGTACCAAGTAGTTCTTTGCTTCAGACTCCTTGACAAAATTAAAGGGACTGTGAGTGAAATTTCAAGTGACTCTCCATGCAAGGATGGCACTGCCTGATTTACAATGGTACCCTTAAAACTTTAATCTGATCAATAATGTGGAAGATACCGTTGTTTTAATGACTCGAATAGTGTTTTATCTGTGCGTATTGCTCATTATAAAACAAAAAATGTGCAAGTCACTTTCGCAGATAATAAACAGTTAAAAGAAACAAAAAGATTCAGACAAATCAGACAAAGCTTTCAAGGGTGCTGTTGTAAACAGGGCGGTACTGATATCTCTGCATGGAGGGTCACTTGAAATTAAGCTTACAGTCCCTTTAAGTAAGGAATTCTGGCTGAAGAACATTTTCACAATGTTTAAATTATAAGAAGTTGTTTTTGGGTGAACATTGAAATGTTTAAAATGTTTAAAATTCAGGGCACGTTTTATCTTGAATAATGATCGCTAAATTATGGAAAAATAAATGATTTTTAGGGGACAGAGAATAAAGAAACTGATTCTTGTTACAAACTTAAATTCAATAATCCCTTTATGGCTAAATGGTTAAAAAAAAGGGGAGAGTTCTTAAAAATATATACCCCTTGTAAAGGGGAGAGTTCTTAAAAATATATACCCCTTGTAAAGATGCATTATCTGTTAAATGAAGGTTGAAACAGACTTTTCTTTTGTGTAATCTTTGACATTTTTTATTGTAATTACAATTTATATAAACAGTTAAAGAAATTACCTCAAGCTTGGATTTTCTAATCTCTTAAAGCTTTAGATATTTCAAACTATGAATTCTGTTATTTAAATAATATTTAAGTATGAAATATCAAAGGTTTACACCATATAACTTTGTGGCAAAAAAAAATAAAATATATTTTAATGTTTTTAGAAACTTGTTTACCTTAATTTTAACTGTGTTTGACGGGAAAACTTGCTGAGTGTTCTTATGCCAGGTAACTACAGGTTTAGGTTCTCCCTCGACCTCACATTCTAACCGGACTTCTCCTTTAACATTAAACCTGTTAACCTGTTGAAGGTTCTAATGCTAGGTGACTAAAGGTTTAGGTTCTCCCTCGACTTCACTTTGGAACCGGACTTCTCCTTAAACATTAAACCTGTAAACCTGTTGAGAGTTCTTATGCCAGGTTACTACAGGTTTAGGTTATCCCTTAACCTCACATTCTAACCGGACTTCTCCTTTAACATTAAACCTGTAAACCTTTATCTAGCTGAACCTCTCCTGAAACATTTATCCTGTAAACCTTATCTATCTGAACCTCTCCTTTAAACATTTATCCTGTAAACCTTTATCTAGCTGAACCTCTCCTTTAAACATTTATCCTTTAAACCTTTATCTAGCTGAACCTCTCCTTTAAACATTTATCCTGTAAAGCTTTATCTACCTTAACCTCTCCTTTAAACATTTATCCTGTAAACCTTCATCTAGCCTAACCTCTCCTGAAACATTTATCCTGTAAACCTTTATCTAGCCTAACCTCTCCTGAAACATTTATCCTGTAAACCTTTATCTAGCTGAACCTCTCCTGAAACATTTATCCTGTAAACCTTTATCTAGCTGAACCTCTCATTTAAACATTTATCCTTTAAACCTTTATCTAGCTGAACCTCTTTTTTAAACATTTAGCCTTTAAACCTTTATCTAGCTAAACCTCTCATTTAAACATTTATCCTTTATTTACCTTTATCTAGCTGAACCTCTCATTTAAACATTTATCCTTTAAACCTTTATCTAGCCTAACCTCTCCTGAAACATTTATCCTTTAAACCTTTATCTAGCTGAACCTCTCCTTTAAACATTTATCCTTTAAACCTTTATCTAGCTGAACCTCTCCTGAAACATTTATCCTGTAAACCTTATCTAGCTGGAATTCACCTTTGAACATTTAGCGCAGATTTTAAACTTTCACATTTCTTCTTAGATAGTGTACAAGTAACTATAGAATTCATACAAATATTTAATGTAATTTTGAAAATTAGATGTATAATTTCTTCAGCAAACCACAGGCCTTAATTTACAGTATGTTATAGCAAAATCGATCTGTTAGTGTTGAGTATTAAACTTGAATATCCCTAACAGCCGGGCCCTGGTTTATTTGGCGTATCGTCCTGTTTTGCCTAGTATTGTCTATTTGTGTACAATACAGCTCTAGCTGTAAAAAAGTTGGTCCTGGACCAACCTTAATGAATTTAAATGCCTATCCCTGCACTGGTTCAAATTTAAATCACCGATTCAAATTTTTCTTGAATTTATAACTTTGAAGGTTCAAATTTGAATCTGCAGTTGACAATTCAGCCACGTAGCTCAAATTAACTAAATTGAAATGAATCAAAATTTAAATTGATCCATATAACTAGCATAAAAATCCGGCTTTGTCTTGAATTTTCTGTTTACAAGTTGACACATTCAACTTAGAATCTTTAAACCTAACTAAGAACATTTCTATTGTTCTTCCGAGTTCCTGAATCAAAATTTAAGGCCAAATGTTCTTTGAGTTCCTGAGTTATGATCAGACATACAAAAAAACAAACAGAGATTACTACTTCATATATATATAGAGTAGATTGGGAACCCGGCGCTGCATTGCCCGGGTTATTTATAGCTACTTCCGCTGCTTTACCAGGAAACTAAATTTTCGCTTTAAGACTACTTAACTTAGAATCTCAAAACCATGCTACAAGCACATTTCCAGGGTTCTACAGAGTTCCTCTATCTAATTTTTCAAACAATTAAGTCAAGGGGTTCCTGAGTTATGATCGGACATACAAACACACAAAGAGATATGACTACTTTATATATATATAGATATGCAATACCTTGATGCTGTTGAACTTGTTTATCTTGAGAGCTGGATATTTGAGGAGGATCTAAATATAATTTATCTTTTAGTATTGGCCAAACCCAGTCTTTTTTGTCTTATCAGTCTAATTGAAGAAGTGCCTGGAGTTGCCCGTGGATTATAAAAATATTAGAATTGGAAAAATTATCGAATTTTGAGAAAATGTGTTTATGCAGAACATGTCGGCAAATTTGGTTCAGCCGCGCATTTAACTATATTGAATTTATTAGAATTAATATTGTATTTTAAGCTTTATATATACTATAGTACACTCCTTTAGTTTTTACTCAAAGGTTGCAAAGCTTTTCCGCAAAAAGCGATAAGAATTTTGAAAAAAAAAGTTCAAAACAGGTTCTTCAGAGCCCAAAAGTTATGACAGGGTATCATTATAAAAATTAGTTATGTAACCTGAGTTTCACGAATGGGGTTAGCAGTTTTGTGGATGTCAATATTTTTGTTATAAAATAGTATTACATTTAGTTTCGTCATTTTCTCAAATTTTTTAATATCTCTGAAATCAAAATCTCCACCAATGTTAAGACCCCAAAAAGGAAACTCGGGAGTTTCGTTCAACGACAGATACGCTTTCAAATATAAGTCTCAGTGTTCTAATCTGTAGTATATGTCTAGGGGTTCACAATGTATAAGCAAGTAAATGAGGTGACATTAAAGGCCAAGGGGTTGCCACATTTAATAGTTGACTTTTCTGACGTAAAAATCTACGTCACATAAATTACATTAAATAGGGATCATTCATTTGGCGTACCGTCCCAGCTTGCCTTACATAGTAAGAAATGGTAGTGTACATCTTGCTCTAGCTGGTTCAAAGTCTGCCAAACAAATTCTTACACTTTCTTTACTAAGAATATCTTTTACAAAAGATTATTAAGTTTTTTTTTTTTCAAAATGCAAATGATGTTGATCCCTATTTTGGGTAACTTATATACTTCTAATGTTTATTTCAAGTTTCTTCGAAACTCTTGAAAACTCCCCGTCTTCCTTCACGGGGGGATTCAACTATAATTAAACGGTTTAAACATCTTAATGTATAAACTTAAAAAGCAAACTATAGAATGCAAAAATAGTGGTTTTACATGAAGTTTATTCTGAAGTCAAAACAGTTCAGTAATTATCCCTGGATCTAACAGTTATCTTTCGTCATCTGAAGGGTTAAACTATCTTCTTTTGTTTTTTCTTTTGAATTTCCAATTTGATTGGAAACCAAAGGGATAACTCAAACCAAAGGGATAGCTTCAACCAAAGGGATAACTTAAACCAAAGGGATAACTTAAACCAAAGGGATAACTTAAACCAAAGGATAACTTAAACCAAAGGGATAACTTAAACCAAAGGGATAACTTTAACCAAAGGGATAACTTAAACCAAAGGGATAACTTAAACCAAAGGGATAAATTAAACTCAAGCCAGCATTTATACCTCAAATTTACTGGTAAATCCAAAAATATCAAAGGTTTGCACCATCAAGTTGCTAAGATATAAGGATTATGAAATTTGAGTTTGTGACTATGACTCATTTCCTTTTTTACTACAATCTTGCACAAGAGATTCTATTCAAGTGTAGATTTAATACCCAAATTCTTAAATTTGAAAAGTGCTAGAAATTAAGTTATAAACTTTTAAACAATTTGCTTAAAAATGAAATGTTACCAGGATTTCTACATTTGAAATCCTCCTTCAAACTTAAATTCATTTAGACAATCTTGTAGATAGATCTAGTTTTCTTCCACTTCTACTTTAAACTTAAATTCATTTAGACAATCTTTTGGGGAGGGTTTAACCTCTAAATTTTCTATTCAATTTTTTTAACAATGTTTTCTTAAATCTAAAATTTAGTTTCTGATATTTTTAATATTATGGGATATACAAGTTACAAGTAATCTTTGAATTTTATATTTTTTATCATAATATTATTGTTTCAGTATATATTTACAATTTGTGTGCATCTAATATGAATAAAGTTTAGTTATTCTTAAGAGAAAATTATTTTGAAAAGAAAGTTAGGACACGCACCTCTGACCCTTTAGTAAAAGTAAATTTAACCTAGTCTGACCGCGTCAGTCTTGTTGCACCGGCTAGTCCATTGAGTGTCTGCTTTATTTACCCAATGTCAGGGCAATACAGTACCAACTGGGACCGAAAAAGTTGACCCTGCTCGGAAATTCAAATGTACTACGGCTGCCCGTGAGGAAGTTCAATTTACCTTTTTGTAATTACAATTACATTAAATGAAATATACAAATGAAAATTTATCATGGCGGCCGCAAGAGAATAATTTAAAGATATTCCTAACGCGGCTTTATCTAATCAGGCCCCTAGTCAGGATTTTCCCAAGGGGGGGTGCAAAGTAGGGTGTTGAAGTATGGGCCCAGGATCACAGAGTGAAACGTAATTTACGAGGCGGAGGGTGGCTATGAGAACTTGTAATTTAGCTTAATTTTATGTTATGTAGATTATTTTCTAATAATTGTCAACAACATAGTGGTTTAAGCGTGAATTCAATGCTATACAGTGACAATACGATTTTCCCTGAATTTTATGTTTCATATAGTGTTACACATGTAGGGATGTTAACGTTTTTATTTTTTTTTTGAAAAAACGATCGTTTCGTTATTAAAATGACGACGAAAAATCAAAAACAAAACGATTGTTTGTTTTTGGAAAATGACCATTTTCAAAATGATTGTTTTTAAAATGATTGTTTTTAAAAACTGTCGTTTTGTTTTCTAAAAGTCCAAAACGAGTGGGTCTTTTATAAAACCAATTGATAAACAAAACAAAAAACGATCCTTTAACGATAGTTTTCAAAAACAATTAACAACCCTAACACATGAAAGTTTTTAGCTCTAATTTTACAATATTGGATAAATGTTGCTAATTTTGATATTACTACTCACGTTCACTGATTTTAAATTATCTGGTCAAAATATTGAAAATATGAAGCTGAGGCAATGTTTCTCCAAAATTTGAAGAATTGAATTTTTGATACATACTGGAACATATTTGATAAGTTTATTTGTCGACATATGTGAAAGAACAATAAACCAGTTCGATTAGATTTTACCTGAGATAAGGACAAATATTTTTCAAAATAGATTTAATCTGTTTGGTCTGGGGGAACAAACAACTTTAATAAACAATTGCTTTGGAAGTTATATACATACAATAAACATGGTACATGAAATGATAACAATTTTGAAAACTTTAAATAGTAATATTTCAATTTTTCAAGAGAAGATTATATCAAGCAACTGCATATTCGTCGTTGCAGTCCCATTTTAGGAGAAAGGGGGGTGCACCTCACCTCTTGCACCCCTCCCCTGGCTACAGGCCTGTGTCACAACTTATTATGTAACTACTTTGCACAAAAACATTTATCTGTATGCTGCGCACTTTTATACAGAAAGCTACTTACATTGAACTGTGAGGAAGATGTTGGCTGCATGTGGTGCACCCACGCCATTGTCTGCCGTACAAGTGTACGCTCCAGCATCCCCCTGCTGGGTGTTTGTTAAACTAACACATGATCCACCAGTGCATTCAGCTCCGTACATCTTTCGATCAGAACCCTGTAACAGTGTTCAAGTTGGTGGGTATTTGTTTGAACCACTGCCGTTTGAACCATTGGTCACGTCTGAACTATTGTTCATTTGAACTACTGACATGATGTCATATCCTGTAGTTCAAACTATCACAATATTTGTTCATTTGCCCAGCTAGCAAAATAACCGATTTCGGTTATACCGCCTCGTATATACGACAGGCTTCGCCAGAGTTGGGCGGAGCTCCGATCATCATGTCCTGGTGTAGTAATTTCTTCGCCATAGCACTTACTATGGAGGGGACATGGAGTACATACTATGGAGGTATAGAAACCTCTCCGCTATCGTACATACGACATGGCGAAGACCAAAACACGGCGGAGATCGAATGTTAGCTGGGTGAACATCAGCAGTTTTATAATTTTAAAGATTGGCATGAGCATCAAAGAAAAGTTTGAATGAACAAAAAAATTTTGAAAGAAATAGTTCAAATGCAAAAAAAGTTCAATAGTATCCATTGCATTTGCTTAATACTTTTTTTTACAATCAAAGATTAGGGATCAAAAGCTTTATTATAGATTTTTTTCTCAACAAATTTTGGAAAGGCCTTTTTTATAAATAAGTTTTACTATAAATAGACAAATAAAAAATATATTCTTCAAAAAATTTTGATTCTAAACAACATTGCCCTTTGTAAATTTTCTTTCTATACTTATAGTTATTGAGATATTTAAAGAAAACAAAACTATGTTATAACCTTTAATGATTTTAAAACTTTTTTTTCAAGCCCTATAGATTTGAAATACATATAGATCGAAAGATTATTACAATTTCGTTAAATAGAGCGTTGCCCAAATTGACGCTTATTGTTGTTTAGTGCATTATTTTGCAGGTAAAATAAATTAATATAAAAACTTCGTTTTTTTCATCTGCAAACAGTATAGAAGTCGCAAGGTAACCAATCAGAGCCGGGGCAGTTAGAACATCTGACCAATCACAGATTAAAATTTATACAACTGGGAGGGCGGGAGGATAGGATGAACTAAAACGGGATATGAAACAAAATCTATAAAGTTTTGGTTTTTCTAGTCCAAACTAAAAAAACATTATGAAAATTTAAAGGATACTAAAGATGGTCTACCGTGCTTAAATAGATGAATTAGTCATGTTTTAAGTAGAAATTGACAATTATAAACGGAGAATAATTCATGGAAGACTGTTTGGGAGAGATTCGGAAGCCCTTTGGGGACGCGCAAGGTTCGGAAGCTGTGCGTGGGAGGTTGCCTTCCCCCCCTCCCAGGACATGTCGTTAATTAAAAGGCAAAAAGTGTTAACTTAGGATTACTCAAAATTGATGTAAAATATATGTTTATTTTAGAGGCTTTCTGAGAGTGAGCAAGCATTGAGAATCATTTATAGATTGAAATATTTTTGGTCTAAAAGACAAAAGTCGATTTGTTGTAAAATACGCATTTAAATTGGTAATGTCGTATACCATGTGTATAATTGATTGCAAAAAAGATGAGTTAGAATTTTGATGAATGAAGAACTTTGTAACTTTGTTTTTGTCACAAATTGCAATTTTGTACAATCCTTATTCCAACCGAATGTCTTTTAAATCTGATGTTTTAGACCTTTGATATGTATAGCTGAATAAACTTGTCTTTTTTGAGATATTTTTTAGGCAATGAGTCCTAAAGAAAATGTTTTGTTAACCTGTTTGGTCCATGTAACTGTTGGTTTACCTGTTTGGTCCATGTAACTGTTGGTTTACCTGTTTGGTCCATGTAACTGTTGGTTTAACCTGTTTGGTCCATGTAACTGTTGGTTTACCTGTTTGGTCCATGTAACTGTTGGTTTACCTGTTTGGTCCATGTAACTGTTGGTTTAGGATTCCCAGATACTTTGCACTCTAAGAGAGCATCTTCACCCTGCTTTAGGGTCAAGTAAGCAGTTTCTGGAGTGCTTAGAACTTGGGCTGGAACTAGAAAAAGAACACGGTTAAAGGGACTGTAAGCGTAATTTTGAGTGACCCTCTATGCAAAGATGACAATGCCTGATTTACAACAGTACCCTTGTAAGCTTGATCAATTTTTTTGTTTCTTTAAACTGTTTAATTTCATTTGCAATTTCTCTCCGAAAGTGATTTGCTAATTTCTTGATATAAGACGCAATGGAGAAATCACAGAAAAATACTTTTTGTGTCAGTAAAGCTACTTTATCTCACACATTTTGATCATATTGTATTTCTGAAAGCATTCAACAATTTACCATTAACAATTTTATGTTCCAAGATTTCTATTAGTTCTACATGTTTTTAGAGAGAAAACAACGATATCTCCTTTATCATTGCTCAGATGAAGGTATAAATGGTACTGAATAGTTTGGACTAGGGCAAACAACTCTTTTATTTGGGATCATCAAATAGATGGCAACAGAGAAATGGATGAATTATGCACGACGTCCCAAGTGTCAAATATAACAAGGAAAACGAAACTTTCTCTCATCAGTTGACATGTTTTCCAAGATTAAATAAAAAAGCGTAAAAACAGAAACTGTAGAACACATAAAATTGCACTTATTTTACTGTAAGAAAAGCACTTTATTCTAAAATTATCACTATTATTGATGATTTTGTCGGACACAAAAACTGAATTGACGCGTCAGAATACAACTGTACTGAGAGTGTACAAATTCTAAGTTGCCAAGAATCTATCTTGGGATCACATAACAATACATTACGTTAGGAGTCCCTTTTAAGGGACAATATTAATGAGCCATGAGTTGATTTCCTGACTTTAAGAACTAATTATATTGATTTTATCGTTATGCATGTATTAAACCTTAAACATTAAATGATTTATTATCAAAATTATTCTCTTGACTTTGGTTTTGTTTTTCTAAAGTTTTCTGTAACAACTCTTCCTGGAGAGTTCTACTGAGTGCCAACATATGGTCCATCCCTTTCAATTTATTTAAGTAATAAATTAGACACAATTTTGTAAGGACTTTGTATTAAAATTCTTGTATATCTTGCAAGTCCAAAATTGTTTTTTATTAAAAAAGATATGACTTACAGGAACTGTAGACTTATTTTTGCGCGTGGCATGTCCGATTCACAACAGTACCATTTGAAGCTTTTACTACTGATCAAGAATGAATGAGATATTCTGGTTTTATATTTGAAAATTTATTATTTTAACTTGTGAAATAATAGACATTACCTAGAATATCCAGGGTATGCTCAACAGAGATTAGGTTCGAAGATCCAGAGATTGTTGAGATCTATTCAGGAAATCCAATGTTAGCTTGAAAATTGCAGTAATGAATCAAAAATTATTGAACCACATTTGCGCCGGCCGCGTGACTTTTAAAACTTATATTTTATGTATAATTTAGCCAGCTTGGGTATCCGTAGGTTTTTTTGTACAAAATAAACTTTTCTTTGTTTTTTTTAACTGCACAAAAGATATGTTCTAAAAAGTGCCCTATTTGCACGCATACTAACTTATCAAAATGTTTGAATTTATCAGATTTTGTCTATTAAAGATTTATTGATAATGAGCTGATACAAAGGATGCTTTTTTATATTTTCATTTTTTGCTATGTGTTTGTATTCTTTATTCTTGAAACAATTTATGCCTTTGAATACTGTTTCTAAATGTTAGTTGGCCCAAATAAATTCTTATGTAAATTGTGCGCAAAATAGTTGAAAACTTGTGTCAGGATTTAGATTCAAATATTTTCTTTTGAACCTTTGAAAAATGTTTGAAATGTTTTGTATTTTAGAATAGTGTGTTTATAGATGGACATGGTTTTGTGAGAAAGAACAAAATTTAACGTGAATGATAGCGTTGTTTACAAAATAAAATAACTATTTAAGATCATCCCAACGATCTTGATAATAAACTTTTTTTAAAAATATGTTTTTTTTGGGTAAAAAAACAATTTTACTGAACAATTGGTCAGTGAGAAAAAGAGCAAAAGAGATAGAAAATGAACAACAATTTTTAGAATGAACAAAATCAATTTTTTAAAGATTGAAAAAAAGTGAACAAAGTTGTTTCCAAAACGATAAACGAACAAATAAAAAAAACTGAATAGGCCCATCTCTATATGTATGGCTGAAAGAGCTGGACAGCGAAGGGAACTTTTAGATGATTTATCCCCTAGCCCATCTTCTATACATTATTCAAATATATTTCTAGCTCTATATCAAAATTCAGGCACTGGGCGCTAACATTTAAACATTTACAACAAAGTTTGATTCTAAAAATGAAAATATCATTTGATTTTAAAGGGACAGACCGGCTATGTATGGTAGTTGAACTTAAGTATGCAGTGCTGTGGAAAGCTTCAAAGCGCAATTTCGACGTTCAAAACTCCTACTTTGGGGGTGTATACGTTTTCAGAATCGGTCTTTTTTATTATTAAATTACGACGACGAAAAATGTAAACAAAACAGTAAATTAATTAGTTGTTTAGGAACCGGTTGAGAAAATAAAAATTAATCTTATCATGAAAATTCAATTATTAGTTTCTTTTTTCTGATTATTATAGTTTCTCATTATTCACAAAGATTTTCTGCAGATTTTCTGGAATTATTATTGAAAAGACGACATTTGAAGAAATTCAATATAATGATGAAAACGAAATAATTGATTCTAGCATTGATTTATTGACAAATTTCTTTTGAGAAATATGTTCCCAACCTTCTAATTATAGTTTATTATATAATTTTTACTCAATTTTTCGTCGTCGTTTTTTAGTAATATAAAAAAACCTATTCTGAAAACGTATCCACCCCCAAAGTTGGAGTTTTGAACGTCAATTTTGCGCTCAAACTCAGGATTTACAGATCTTTAAAAAGTTTTATCTGTATCAAATGAATCCTAAAGAATTTGTCCACAACACTGCATACTCAGTTTAACTACTTTACATAGCCGGTCAACCCCTTTAAGGGTAAAATCATAATAGGATTGAAACTTCTGTAAATAATAATCTTCTAGCGGATTCACTGGGTGACTGGAGTTACAATTAAACAAATTTATTACTGTTGATATTGAATTAAATGAAGTGCTATCCATCAAGTTTGTTCTAGTTTTGTCGTTTTTAGACATTTTTTTTAAAATATCCAATTCGTTTTTATCATTAGCGTGTCCCCTATCTTCACTTCTTTAAGAACTTTTGCAAAAATTTGTTTTATTGAAATTTTAATTTTAGTTGGCAAAAATATTTCCAAATTTCAAAATACAAACCGTAAAAGCTAAAATAATATGCAATTTCAAATTTCTTATTTTTCTGTTTGATTCAATTCATGTGTTTTGTATCAATTAGATCCATCAATCTTTATCAGATTTTTCGTTTGACCTAACAATTGTTTAAAATAAAAATATCATTTATTCAGTAAAAAACCGTAATTTTTCATTTTTATTTTGTGGCCTATCTATAGTTGTGATTCTCTGTTGTTAATTGTTCTATCCGAAGACGCGTAAATTTAATTTTTTTTTTTAATTCAAAAGCTTCCAGTGATTGGTTTGTTTAATTCCAATTTCAATAACTTAAGAACCCCCTAAACGATTTTCGTCAACTTTCGATTGGGACCTCAGCAGAACAACAGAAATGTTCTTTAGTAAAAGATTAGTTTACAGACAAAGCGGGGTTCCCAAACTAATGAACAAATGAAAAAAAAACTTTCAAAACTGTTTCTGTTGGATTTTTCCCTGGCAGACGTATTCCCCCTTGTCCTTGTTCTCGATGTCTTTGATAAAGAGGGAGAAGAGGTCGAGGTTGGTGGAAACAGTGATCCTTGGGTCAGGACTCAACACCAGTCTCTCAGTTGCCAACACCTAGCAGTTCATGTTCATCAGAGACTGAGTCTAGCCAGTTCAAATCATAATCACCAATTCAAATATTCATAGATTTTTAACTTTTATTTGGTGATTCAAGATTTGAACCACTAGTATGTAGTTTAGCAACCTTGCTCAAATTCATTACATTCGGTCCCGTGTTTCACTTTGTAGTTTGAATAGCTTGTGAACTGTTTTACATTTTTTTTATACTAAGCGTTCTATCTACCTTTCATATTGATCTACTCTGTCCCGATGCATTAGGGTTAAACTATAATATGTAAATTCTTAAAAGCTATAATGGAATGGCAAGAGAGACCCTCAGAATACCCACCGGTTATATTAATTTAAAAAATCCTTCAAAAGTTTTAATTAGGTCGAATGAATCTTTCTAATATAAATATAAATTTAACAACTTGGATCGACTTTGACGTTCAACAAAATTAGGAAAAATTATCTTAATTAATTTATTTTTGATAATTCATTAGAATTATACTAACGTCATATCCCCGTCTCCAGACAATATGACGATCACCAAGGTTCAAAACACGACAATGATTGTTACTTCCTCCATGGATATCTAGATATATGAATATTGTTACGTTATCCATGGATATCTAGATATATAAATACTATTACTTCCTCCATGGATTTCTAGATATATAAAACTACTATTACTCCCTCCATGGATAATTAGATATATAAAAATACTTTTATTTCCTCCTTGTATTTCAAGATATATGAATACTTTTATTTCCTCCTTGGATTTCTAGATATATGAATATTATTAAGTTCTCCATGGATATCTAGATATATGAATACTGTTACTTCCTTCATGGATATCTAGATATATTATAAGAGGGATGAAGATAATTACCCCTGTCAAATACATCTTCAGTTCAGAACAAAGAGATTAAAAAAAGAATAAAAGGAATATTATTATTCAGATGCAGGTGTATTCATGAGTGCAACGTAGTTGAAGCTAGGAAAACGGTTCAACTAGTTCTTTCGATGTAGTTCAACTAGTTCTACGTTGTTCAGCTACCTCTTGTGACTCATTAAATCTTGTAAAATGAACACTGTTGGACATTTGTTAATAAGATTTAAAATAATTTTTTTCCTGATACAAAAATAAAGTTTTTTTTTTTTGTAAAATGGGTCAAATTTATGACATTTTCTTTTTTGTCCCTCTTCTGATAGTAATGGACAAAATTGGTTTGTTTTAAAAAGGTTTTAACTTAAAAAATGTATAACAAAAATATGTTTACAAATTTCAAAATACACTTAAACTAAAACCACTGGTTTTCTCTTATATTTGTTCTGAAGATAAAAATATTTTAAGTTAAAAAAGAAAACTTTAACCGCAGTTTTAAAATGTGGGGTAGTTTTTTTTGAATACTTAAAATAAAAGCCAAAAAAGGTCTCCTACCTCCCCCCCCCCTCTCCTGTCCACCTTATTTTCTTAGCATTCATGTAGTTTTCTAATATGTAATTGAGTTATTATCTGTATTAGGTTCAGGGGTCATATTAATATATATTCAATTATTAACAATTTAACAAGCATTATAATAGATATAAGTGCTCTGTTACTATTAATTATATCTGTATAAACGAGATTATAAGATTTAGAAAGATTACACTAATATGATAATCTCCAGCTCTTTAACCAATTCACAGAATTTTATTTTCATCAAAATAGTTTAATTTTTAATATTTCAAGGAATAAATAAATTAAAAAAAACGCCAAATTTATTCATGATTTTTTTCATATTTTTAAAAATGGGAAATATATTTTCTTTGTTTAATATTCTAATTTAATATAATAGAAAAAAATTGAATAGAACTATCCGAACATATGAAAACTTGTTTTTTCAATATCTTTTCAAAATAACATGATCATTGATCAACCATTAATAAGAATTAATCAAAAATCAGAGATTTTAATTTTAATAATCACGAAGATTGATGATCAACATGTTTTTAATCATAACTTTTTGAGAATCAAGTCAATTACAAATTTCACGGAAAATAAGAAAAATAAGGTTCTTTAATCTCAAAAATCTTGAAAAAAATTTGATCTCAAAATATTATTTTATAGAAGAGATAGAATGATTTTTATCAATTTTAATTTGATAAATCATGAAATACAATAATAAAAGTAATAAAAGTCAAGCTTTCGTAAAGAACAGAATTTAAACAATTAGGAAAAGTACATATTAATACGTAGAGAACAATAAAACAGAGAACATTTTCAGAAACAGTTTAAGGAGAAAAAGAGAAATGTAAAATAGAATTTTTTTAAAGAAAAGAAAAGAAGCAGAAATTAAGGACAAATAACTGGAACTGTTCTTGTCATGTTGATTTGCCCTTTAACACTTTAGTTTCAGTAGAAGTAAATATTTCCATTTACTGATAGTGCCGATTTGATTTGCATTTATTTAAAGCGGGGCACAACCGATTTACAACGATATACTTTAAACCTTTATCTGATCAATTATGTGTGAGATATCCTGCTTTTTTAGCTTTAAATGGTTTAAATCTGACAATTTCCACTATTTTTCTGCAGCAGAAATCCGGGGATCACTCGTAGGACTTTTCAATTGAAAATGTTCAAGTTTTAAAGTAGAAATTATGAATATCTCATTCCTTTATGATCTGAAAACGTTTTATACCGTTGTCAATCTTTAAATGTTCACAAATGTTACGTCTAAAGTGAAAAGCATAAAACTCTGATCAGAAAAACTAAGTTTGAAATATCAGGTTGTAAAGAAATAGGGATTAGAACATTTAAGTTTGTGGCGAAGACTCAATTCCTTGTATTTGCGGGAATATGCTTAGTGAAACAAGGAGGGATAGTAGAATGCAACTTATAATAATTATCAATCCTAATTAATAAGTTTGTGTTACACTAATTGTAAAGGAACAGGGTCAAGGTTTATTTTGCTCCAGGTTAAAAGTTTTATTCAACTTTTCTTTCATGAATGCAGAAATAGTTTATCACAAAATCTTAAAGAAATGTAATTTCAAATTATACTTCACTTAAAAAAAAGTCAATGCCTGATTCACTACAGTAGGCTAATGTTAAAAATATTCTGAATTCTGAAAATTCCTCCGTTGCTTCTACTGCAGAAACGCGCAAAATCCCCCCAACAGCAGAGAAGCCATGCAAACAAAAGTAAAATATGTTGAAAGGTGAAAAATAACTAATTGATACTTGATTAAATGAAACTGTGAACGCACTTAAACTTTCGTCACTATCGTTGTATTGTATACATATTTTAGAATATGCAATTATTTATTTAAACAGTAGTATCTAGAAAGATTGTACTAACAAAAACAACACTAATTTGTCATGTACACATCAAACCCCAAATATTTATATTCAGATAAACTAGTGATAACCAGAAAATCTGGAATAGGAAACACTTCAGTATTACTTCTTATTCTAAAGGAATGGAGTCTTTGCCACAAACTCTGATTTTCTAAACCCTATATCTTTGGATTCCAATGTCATAGACCTTAGATATTTCAAACTATGAATTCTGTTAGATCAAAAAATATAATTTTGAAATATCAAAGATTTAAGATATAGATATAGGGATTATAAATTCAGAGTTTGTGGCAAAGACTCAATTTCTTTTCTGGTTCTCAGTGTAAAAAATATTAAAGAACAAAAACTATTAAGTTTGTTCCTTTTTGGGCAAAGGAAACGAGTCATTGCCTCAAACGCTGATTTTCTAATGACTTTATCTTTGCAACCTAATGTTGGATATTTCAAACACTTATGAATTCTGTGAGATCAAACGTTTTACACCATCAGGTTGCAAAGATATAGGAATGAAAACATTATAAATACAAATCAATTAATATTAGTTCATATATACCATTAAATTTTCGTGAACATTCTCTTTAACATATATTTTCTTACTTTGAATGATGACCAGGGATAGAATCGAAGAATAAGAATTGGCCAACGTTCTTCGCATTTTTCAACCTTTGTGCTCTAACGTTGGTTTAGTTCAATAACCAACCTTTACCGAATCTAGATTATAATCTATTTATATTACTGGGAAAACCAAGAAAATAAAGAACATGACGAGTACAAGATTTCATCTGTTTTTGTGGAAAAAAGTTTAAATGTCACATTTGACGGATGGCGGAACAGATTTCCGACTTTAACATTAAATAATTAATCTCAAAATTTCCAAATCTACACGAAATATTTGTATTCCACAAAGAAAGATCATTTTTGAAAAAGAAGTCTTATTTTATATTTCAAACAGAATATATTGTCATTGGCATTGGTGGGGTTTTCATTGAAGTAAATAAATGATACTTTTTCCAGGAATATTTACATGATTATACTCCTTCCTACTGCTTACAGATTCACTCGATTTTCTTGCGGATTTCTTGTTTAAGAATTCCCGTATTTCTTTTGGCGGATTTTTTCACTCAGCGAAAATAATAATTTTTGTAAAGTTCTAAGTTGTGTCCAAGATCCAATGGCGCTTTATAATCAGAAGTATTAAAGAATCACGTTGAAATCCATGATCAATGTTTTTTCTATATTCTGTTAAAAATCTGATTTCTGATTTTTAATCAACACCGGTTGGAAACGTGAGAGCGGGAGGTAGTTCTCCGATGGTTACGGAGCAACTAAATCTCCGGAGGATGGATAGAACCCGGAAAAGGATGGTTCAACTCCGGCCCGATACCGGAGATACGCAGACACCATGAACCAGATCGTCTCAAATCAAGAGTCATGAAAACATGGAAAAATTGTATACAAACGTTGTCAAATTCAAATACATACATTTTCTTTTGTGTAAAAATCGCATTTGCAATTTTAGAATGTAATTTGACTTTGATGGTTTCAAATTCAGTTGAAAGTTGATTGCTTGAACATAAACTAAGTTTATATATACTTGGCCCGGCTGCAAAAACTTTAAAACAATTTAGAAACATTTTTGAAAAAAGAAAAATAAAAGTAAATATATATTTTTTTTAACATAGTTAGTAAAAGGAGCGGTTTACGCATTTTCAAGCTACTCTTATTTAAATATACAGTTGTGAACCATACCCCATAATTTACTCTGGTGTAAGGTCGTCTCTAACAAATTGTACCTCCGTTAAACCCTCCGTTCACTTTCCAAACCAAACATTTCCAAGGTCTCCGCGTAAATGTAAACAAAAGCCTCATGGAGCTAATAAAACTTAAAGTGCATTAAAAAGAAACAATTTAAACATAATTTCAGTGAATCATTTACGAATAATCAGTGAAATTACTTTAACCAAATGAATATTTATTTCAGAAGATTAAAAATAGCTTTAGAACTACAATTCAAACAACTATTCCCGTGCCATACAATTTTAGATCGTAAGTTCCTTATGTTTAATTCGCATTAATAGTATCTTTTAAACCTTTTTATTTGCCGATTCACAACAGTACCTTTTAAACCTTTTGTTTGCCGATTCACAACAGTACCTTTAAGCCTTTGTTCAATTCTCATTGATACATATTTCTTTAACCAATTGTTCGTTTACAACTATAC